CCCCCCCCCCAGAAAAAGAAGAAAAAACAAAAAACCAAGCACTTAAATAGTAAATGAAATTTCATTTGACTCATAGCTTAATATTTTAGTTTTGAAGACTTCTGAGAAATGCAACAGAAAATAACTCGACTCACAATAAGAGCTGTAGAACAACTCCCATCCTCCCTTTTTCATAAACAGCCTAGTGATGAAAATTTAATTATTAATGCAAAGTGAAATGGTGTCAAAAGGAGAGATTGAGATCATACCCCTACAGAATTTTCTACAGCTTGATTATTAGGACATCAACTTGGAAGCCAGGAGATACTGCTCTAAGATCCTCAAAGCAGAAGGGAAATTGAATCTGACAATCTTTCTACTTTTTGGAAAAGTGCCTCTGCCCTAAATAGGAAGGGAAATAATTCCACCAGTATAAAAAGAAAGCAAATTTGTGTGCTCTCATATTGCTGTTATAATATGATATATCATATACAATATGATGCAACAATAATATTGTTGTTAAACACTATATCATTCATACTGATTTTAATAAGCCAAACAAGTGGGTGTTGCTTACATATACTGAGCCACTGGAGATTTAGGAATTTAGCATACAGCAAAAACAAGTTGCACAAATAAAAGCTCTAGCAAGTTCAGAGGTTGAAAGGAAAATACATTTTTGCAATTGACTCAGAAAAGGAAAATTTAATTCCTTGCCAGTGTCCAATTTTTTGTTTCATAAAAATAGGTGTAAAGTTTCAACGTCATTTTACTTCCAGATTTACTTCTTTTTTTTTTTCTTTTTTTTTTTTTCTCCCTTTTTTTCTCCCCTTCAGTTTCTGAAAGAGGTCCATATGCAAGAAAGAATCTTTTCCTGCAGTCAGGCTTCTGTGTATTTGATGCAGTTCAGCATACAGCTCGAGCCAGGAAGGATCCATTTTGCAGTGTAAAAGGGGCAGGCCCAATGCCAGCTTGATGCTTTACCACCTCTCATTGTGCCCCACCTGCAGTGGCAGAGTTCAGTCAGGAGTGGGTCTCTGCCTCTTGGGAAAGGGACGACTAACAACTCATTTTGGCAGACACCAAGTCATTTAATTGTGCTTTAAAATGCTTTGAAAAGCATTTCTGGACTTGAAAGATGGTACTATGGGATTCCATATCAAATGAGCAATACAAAAGTAAAAATAGACCAATTGTGCTAAATAATATCCATCCTCAATTCCCGACTTATTGTACATTAACAATATTAATGCAACCTAATTTAGTCTTGTTTTTATAGGGTAGATTTTTGCACAGCATTTTAATGCCCATCATCACTGATATGTATGCCAGTACCAGAGTCCCTTCTGCTCTCAATTGCCTGAATCAGCTGCTCTTGTATAAACTGAATGGAATTAAAACTCCCCAAATGAACAAGCCTGAGTTCTGACTATATGCCAGAACTTCTTGGCTTAGTGTAGGAAGCACAATGAAAGGCACTTAGAATCATTCTCTAGAGTTTCTAACAAATCAAAGATAAAAAAGAATAAGCTTTAATTTTACATCACTATAATTTTAATTTGGTGTTTTTTTTCTATTCATTAATTGCATGCAGTACCAACCTCAAAAACAGTATTTACTCTAGAGTCTATTTACTGTTTCCTGTTTGCTCTGCTAAAGTTTCCTGTGGTAGAACGCAGGGCTTAAGTGAAAAAGAAAATGAAAACGGCTAACACAATGCAGTACATTTCTTAAAAAACTTTTGTGAGAATATTTCCTGTTCAAATTGCTTTTCCTAAAAATCCCTCTCCTAACATTATAACTGGAATGAGATTATAAATGTTTTACGTTGTGGATTTTTAGTTTTTTTGTTTTTTTTTTTCCTGTTTGTTTCCTTGTTTATTTTGATCAATTTATTTTATAGAGATGAGAGTGTTGCAAGAAGAAAAGCTCTATAAACTGCCTGTGTCACTTCTTTCTCCATTGGTGTTATCAAATTTTTATATGTCTCTGAAGAATAAATATCTTGAAAATTCAATTAGCCTGGAACCGTTTTTCAGTTTTCATGTGCATTTTCCTTTTTATATTATCAGCTGGGTAGCAGAATAAACATCTCTCAAATAATGCTTCCAAGAGTAACCAGGGGACACCTTCTCTAGGTTAAGCACTTATCTGTAGTGCTAAATTAGAAGCCTACCACCTTTTCAAGCATATCAAGTCAGAAAAGCATCTCCAGAAATGAGTTCAGAAAATTTGATGGGAAAGGATTTGAGTTAAGCAATGTGGTCACTTAACTGAACTGACTGATGTAAGGGAGGTTTCAAACTGGGCTTTAAGATAGAACTGGGTTGTAAATTCTCAGAAAAAAATAATTCTGTAAGAAAATAGGGACAGTAAGTTTAAGGAAGGTGTGCTATATCTTTCATATGTAACAAATAAGTGGAATTTCTGGTTTAAGAACGGAAAGCAACTCATTTTTAGCTGAGGAACTGCAACCTCAGCTAACCTTACCTCATAACACTGCCTATTCTAAGTAGTGGTAGCTGGCATGCATTTAAAGATATACAACTGCCTCCTGTTTCATCTATATCTTCTTTTGTGGGAGTAACGACACCTCCTTTTCCTTTCAGGAGCACATTTACAAACTGATGAAAAGTGATTCTTACCCTCGTTTTATACGATCCAGTGCCTACCAGGAGCTGCTACAGGCCAAGAAAAAGGTATTGGTCCATCTTGCCTTTGTCTTGCCACTGTGCAAAGCAGTGGTTATGTTTGCAACAATACTCAGTCTTCTCTCCCCTGTGCCAGTGCAACTGGATATCTGGTAGGTGACCAACTTGGCGTATTTGGAGGGTCACATATACACAGGAGTTCAATATACATATATGTGTATATATCCTGCATGTGGGCATGTTGCAATAAGTTATTCTAGCAAAACGTATTTTTATTTTTACATCCCATATTGTACTGTTTTCTCTGTTATGAAGCACCTTAAATTGCAAAGTGCTTTACAAATACATTAAAAAATAAAATAAAATCCCAGAAGAATAGTCTTTCATGTTTGCAAGTTTGCTTATGTAATAACTGTTGTTCTCTTTATTCCACCTGTAAAATCGACAGAATGTGTTTAGAAACAGTCTCACTCATATGAATAACTTCTGATTCCAACTATAAAAATAGGGGCTTCCCAATCCTATTTCTTTCCCTATTATTACGTGAATAGTTTCAAACAGACTGATCATGTCACACTTGTACAATCAGAGGCTCATGTATTGGCATGTAATGTTTGCTTAGAGAAGCCCAGATTCAGAATTGACTCCTGAAAAGGCACAGCCCAGAGTATGTGGAGCAGTTTGTGCAATGCAGAATTCTATAATGATAAATAATTTTATTAGAGGGCTCTAAATAGTGATCTCCTAGAATCACCTGGGAGCCATGTGCTTGCAAAATCAGGACCCTGTCATTGAAATGAGGTAGTTATTGACATCGTAACATTCTACTGTTTATAATGACGACCTAAAATTATATGAAAGTACTGTGTGATTTTGTTTTTTGTTCAAACATTGATTTCTGAAGATCCAATATAGAGAGAAATGTTGAAAATACCAGAAAGCTACAACTGTCCGTGTGAAGTCCTTAAGTTTGTGATTGTCAGTTCATTAACACAAGATGTGCACTTCATTATTTCTTTTTATTTTCAGTTTTTCTTTTAAATCAAACCATTTTGATTCCCATGAAAAATGATTTTTGTCAAATACTATATCTGCTTTGCCCATCTGCTGTTTTGCAGAGTCCCATTACATCTTCATACCTATATTTGCTTCCTTATTTATACAAATTTTGTTTTGCAGTCCATTGTTTCATCAGTCCTTTTCTACTCCATTTTTTCTTGCTTTTCTTTTTCCCCTCCTTTTTCTTTTAATTTTATTTTAAATTTAAGTTGGAAAACACACTGGATCGTCGAACATCTTTTGAGAAATTCACACGCAATGTGGTAAGTTTGTTGCCTTGGAAGACTAGTAAACCTGATGGGACATCCTTCTCCTTTCCCCCTCACCGAACCTTCCTTTCCCTTTTTGCTTCTCTAACCTGACAGTTAAAAGTCTGTTTATCACAGTTTGTGAATTTTCCTAGGAATGTCAGCTTTATAATCTACTTTCATTACAACCCCTCCTCCTTAGTCCTTTTTCTGCTGACCTCCACAGTCACATATGGAGGAATGAAACTTTGGGAGCCATGCTTTTTACATTAGGAAGCATGAAATGATTTGCTTCTTTTTTTAATTTGTAGTAAAGAATCTGTGAAAACCTGCTTATGTTGTTCCTTTTTCCAGTGCCTCCCAAAATACTAAGCCTGATATAGTTTAAGTATAATGGATTTCATTGCTGTCTCTTTTTTTTTGTTTTACTAGAAAAGCGTTTCTCCCATTTTTGTAATTGGGGACAGGGAAAAATAAGCAATAATAATTTCCCTTTCCCTATCCTTCTTAACGCACAGCTTCTTTAGGACCAAAGAATTGATGCTGATGATACAGAAGGGTTTGATTAAGATTTCAATTTGTTTATAGATACAGCAAGTGATTATTTTTCTTTTTAATAATAATTTTGGAAATATATTTCACCAAGGTAAAAATGTGAAGACTGGTAAATTTGCTGTGGCATTATCTTGCCACCAGCCAAAAGATCCACTGATTGCTTGAAATGTGGGATTCTTTTTACTTATCCGGTTTCTTTGGATTTTTTTTAAACTCTGTGAAAGTTCCAACTAAAGCATTCAACGCATTTATTTTTGTAGGGCAGAAACATCCCTATTTTCCCATGCCATAAAAACTGTACACCAACACTGAGGGCGAGCACTAACCTGTTATGAAAAGAGGTAGAAAGATCTTGGATTCTACTCAAGTTTGTCTGCATTGTCTGTTGAATTGTGCAGTTGATGCTGCTGTGTGTGTGTGTGTGCATCTGTGGCTTTTTCTGTGACCTGGTTAGTGGAGCTGTGTGCGTTGAAATGACAAATATGACAGCTTTCAGCAAAGATCATGGTTTTTGTTTTTTAGTTACTAGGGAAGGAGAAGCAGTTCTCAGAAACTGCCTCCCATATAATGAGGCTTAAGAGTGTTTCCTCAAGTATTTAAATTGCATATACATTCCACTAATCAGAACAAGAAACAAACACAGTGAAAGTACAACATTCTGTGAGGTTGTAGGAATATCTCACATGTTAAAACAAAACTGTAATCCTTTGACTACTTTCTTATAGGTAAAGGCTTCCTGTAATATGCTTTGAATCCACTGCAATCAGGAACAAATTTGAATTCAATGGGACAAAGTCAGTAAGACTAAAAAGCAAATGAACAGCCACAAAGTGAAACTATCTCAATGTTTGAAACAAAAACCCCTATTTTTTGCATGGTGGTGTTGCCATAGCATGTTGCAGTGTGATTTGTGTGTTGTCTGAACAGGTTGATCTATACAACAATGTTATACGTGACAACATTATACGTAATGATTCTACTTTCTTCCATGGAGATGTTTAACAGGAAGTTCCACAGTAATAAACGAGCCTGGGTTAATGAGAGAGAGCGCAGACAGTACATCTGGGACCTCTGAGAGGCAAGATTTTGCTCATCACAGTGCCTGACAAACTACAGTGTGTAGGCTGGGTGTTTAAGTAGCCAGCTGATCAGGAACTGGTTATGATAAAAAGTACGTAAACAAGTGGCTCTAAGGAGAGAAATAGCAAGCTCCAAGCAGATGCAGGGAAAACAACACAAAAAAGTGTAAAAGTGAACACAGACTGGGAGGCACTAAGGTTACTCTCTGATAAAGCATCAGCCCTGTACACCAGCACTGGAGCAGCATAGTGCCCTGCCAGCATGCCCAACATTCAGCAGCTAATCTCAGGCAGATGAGATGACATCAGCAGGATGCTGGAGATGTAAGGCAGGCCCAGTAACAAAGCTGTGAGCTAGAATGAGAGGAGCGAGGATTTCTGAATATGAAGCATTAGTACTTCAGTAGAAGAGGGTGATTCTTTTCTCATGGTGCAAGCTATAATGTAAATACTGTGCATTTGCTTTTCCTCAAACTATTGCCCTATGAATTTGGGTAGAATCTGTCAAGTTGGGTCAGCTAGAAAAGTAAAAAATATCACTTCTAAGCATACATTCCTGATGAGACGAGCAGCTCAGAAGCTTGCAAACTACTCCAGAATATCAGGGTTCTCAGGTACAAACATTTTTTTGTGAGAGATCTGAGTTTCTAATCCCGCACGGGCGCAGGACCCCTTGCCACCAGGGATCCTTCGGTACACTGGTTCTAACATGCAGGGATGAAGCAAGTGTTTCTCAGAATATCCTACTGATTAACTTGTTCTACTGTGAGGGGACAGACTGTGGTAAAAGACCTGCTCTTCTGATTAATACAAAAAACAGATGTGAAACAGGTCTTCTACAACTTAGCCAAATGCGGTGGTCTCTGAATGATTTATAAAGAAGAAAATTGTATTTTCACTTATCTTCTGACAATTTAGAAAATACAGACTCATTTCCACTGTTATTTTTCTCAATTACATCCAAGTGGCTTTTCATTGAATTAAATTAGACCTCGGTATTTTTATTTGAAATGTTAAAAAAAAAACAACCAACCAGTTGTGTATAGGGACTGAACGTGAGAGGATGACCTTGTGATTCATAACCTGATTTGTTAAGCTGAGACTGTCAGAGACTTCTGAACCTTTTGTGAGCAGTAATTGGAAGTGGGTTATACTCACCATTTGCTAAGGTAGAAAATTTTAAAACTTTCTATGTGGTATCCCTCTATATTAATCATAAAATTAAATAGAAATCAGCTAGGATAGTCACTCATTATTTTAGTTTGGTAGGGAAATAAACAGAAGTGAATCTATCCACACATAAAAACTAGGCTTAGCTTTGCATTTCTTTGAGACTGTAGAGGTTTTTTTTTCAGAAAGCTTTCAATAATTCAGTGCACTTTCTGAAAGCCCTATATACACAACTAAAAGCACTAGTTATTTAGCTTGCTCTGTAAATTATACAGTGCAGTTGCTAATGCTTTTGGCAGTCTGCAACAGATAATGTGAATACTGTCAGAAACATGTTTACATAAGATACGATATAAGTAAAGTAATAGCAAACTCCTATTTGCTGTATGTAGTATTTTGTCCTAAATAAAAAGTTAGGAAACTTCCTCTTCCTCAAGTAATAACATCTACACAGCATAGGGAAAAAAACAAAACAAAACAAAACAAAAAAAAACAACAAAACACAAGTGAAGAAAGGTGCACTGATAACACTGATGGGAGAAAAGAGGTCCTTTAAGGAAGACTTTAATTTCTCCTTCCCATCAAGAACTGTGACAGTAGCAGACTGGTAGTCTCTGAGCAACACACCTTTGTGAACACCTGCCTGTGTTTAGCTGTGATCAGTGGTCCGGAAACCCAGAACAAAGCATTTCATTTACAGCACAGTAGGCTCATTTCTTTTCCACTACATGCAAATTTTCCTGTCTTGGCAGAAGAGCAGTTAACAGGGCAGTAAGGTGCAGTCTTTTCCTCAGAGCCACCCTGGGGAGATGCTCCATTACTGCATGTGGGTGTGACAGCTTCAGATGCCACCGCCAGTGTCAGAGTTTTATCTGTTGCTGCTTAACTGTCAAGGTGAAAAAATGGGCTTTTTGCAAGTCTGTGGTGTTTTATGAAAATATAGCCAGTACAAAACTGAGCTAACTCAGTACATTTATTAAACCAGAGAGTCATCAAATGATAATAGTCTTCACTCATAGCCTCGTAACCCAGAACCGCATTTAATGACACTGGGTTTAAAACTACTATATCTTACATTATCCATGCTCTTTCCACTTAGAGCTATCTGCTTCCACGTAGCTTAGAACTTCCTTACGAGTTTCCTCTGAGGATTTTCCTCTCCAAACCAGTAACACTATACTATTTAGTGTGCATGAGATAAGTAATATGAAGGCCATGCAACACAGCACATTTTCACAATCCACTGTCCAGTGTAACTTAATATGAAAAACTGCAAATTATGGTCTAGAGGTGGAAATTAAAACTCTTTAAAATAGCTTCCTCTTTTCTTTCCAGTCGAGTATAGACTTTATAGATGTTTAAACTGATGTTGTCATGTTAAGAACTGCCCCTTTACTGAGAAATGCAGATATTAATTTCCCATTAGCCAATAATTTCTTCTTTGGACAGATAAAAGCTTTTATATATCTGAGAGCCAGACCAGAAGTCTACTTCATCCTGAAATCCAAGCATGGGCTATATTTTTCTTGAGGATAGCATTTTGAACAAGCTTTAATGTAATATCAGCTGTGGGAACTTCTGTTCAGTTGTGGAATGTGCAATCATGGAATTCTTCCTAGTTAGACTTTTGAAATTTGCTTATGGGTTATTCTTAAAACATGAAAGAAAAATAGCGTGTCAGAAAAAAAATCACAAAGCTTTGAAAAATACAAAAAACAAACAAACAAACAAACAAAAACACAAACAAACAACTCAAAACCCAAACTCTAAAAACAATAAACTTTCATAGAAATGAACCTTCTCTTTTTTAGGAAAGAGATGGCTTAATGAAATATATATATATATATATATATATATAATAATAATTGAAATTTTGAGTTTGGACTAATAATTAGTCTAAAAATCCAGCGTTAGGTTGTTTTTGAGGAATGATGCTCAGCTTAGTACGGAAAATCAAAAGGAGAATCCCTAGGAGGTGCCAGTGAAGGTTGGCCTCCTTGCCCAGTTCTGCAATGATGAGCTTAGCTGCCTTGCTTTGTGCTGGGTGGAGGGGCTCCTGTGTGGTACTGGCACAGCTGGGTCTGTCTCCATTAGGAAACAGAGCACTCCCATTCAGGTATTAGGCCAGTGACTGCCATTTCCCAGCTGATAAATATTTGCCTGTGTCCTAAGTTACTGGAAGACTGAGAAATAGAGTGATAATGAAATGAACTATTTGTCAAATGCATTGGCACCTTAGAAAATCTTAGATTTTACCCCATCCTTCTGATGGTTTTTCAAGTTAAAACTATCCCATCTGGAAAGAGCTTTCAGGTTAAGCAGGAATTAGAGCAGCTCATCAGAATATGCAGATTACTGGGAGAGGAGAAAAGAAGAGGAATTATCACCCAGTTTGGAACAAGCCAAACCAAGAGTATGCAATTGCTCAGACACTCCTTTTTGTCTATGAACTGCTCCAGGACGGGGAACAGCTGCAGTGTAAAATTAGGAGAGGACTGCAGATCCCCACTATAGGCAGGTGGATTTTCCTGCACATGCAACCACTGAAGGTAGTGGTGAGAACTTGTCCTCTAAACTCAGTAAATGCAAACCCTCCTCTTCACCACCTTCTTGAAAGAGAAATACACTGGCACAGCTGGATGAAAATCAAAGCAAAATCCTGACCGCCTTGTCAATGCTAAATCCATTTGCCTGCCTTAGAGGAGCAAGGGCTGGCTAAATCCTGACCAGAGACTTACTGTTTCTGCTCCTGTGCCTCTCCAGATGTGCTTCTGCCAAGGGCTGTTTATCTCAGCACTGTGTGTGGCACCAGGGATATCACCTGGGAACTTTGCCTGCTGATGCTGGCCAGGCTGCTGGCGTTCAGCACGTATGCCACACACGAGCAGATCAGGAATAGTGAGAGCAAGGAGGGCCAGTCCTCATTTTGTCTCATTTTGCTCCCAGTAGGGTGCATGGCATTCTCCCTATTGGATATGTGGTGTTTCCCTTTCCATTTCTATCAACTGGAAATATAAGTCCTGAGGACAATAAAGAAACTTGAAAAAGGAGTGACTGAGGTTGCTTAGCAGAAAGGATAAGAATTTGAAAACTAACCTCTTAACCCTCATATATTTCAACTCCGGTCCCTATATAAATTTCACATTGGTCTCTTGTAAGTCACATATGAATTGAAGTTATTGCTGACTTACGTGCCAGATTATTTGAGTTGTTAGTGCCCAGCTACATAAATAGGTCAGTCAGCATATTTGTGTTCATAAATCTGCACATGGTCATAAATCTGCACGTATACTTCTGTAATTTTCTCCCCAAGCTCTCTAAAAGTACAGTTGGAAGGACAATTCTGCTTTTAAAAAGTTAATACATTAAGGTAGGTGAGAGAACACTGAGGTCAGTTATTTGGTTTTCATCAATGTAATTGACTCACTCCAGTTGTTCTGCTGCCTGCTTGTACTCTGACTCCCTTGTTGAGATACAGAATCATAGAATCCTTAGAGTTGGAAGGGGTCTTTAAAGGTAATTTCCATATATGCACAAGGCTTCATTTGGCTGGTGTGTTATAATAAAATTATTAAATTGTTTCAAGTCATATGTCCAAATTGTACCTAAAAGACAAAAATTCCTCTCTCGTTTAGAATTTGGCCCTATACTCCTACATGGTGATGGCAAGAATACAACAAAAATATTAAAGACCTTCTTTTCATTCTTCAGATGAAAATCTAGTACTTCTGAATTTGTTTTCAAATGTTCTTTTATCTTACTAGCTCAGCAAACAGTTTTCTAAGTGTGGTTAGTGATATGCTGCACCTTTTAGAACTTGCCTGTTTGTTGTAGGTGACCAAATTGAAAAATTGGCTTATGGAACTGTAATTAGCATTGTACCTGAAAGAAATAGATTCAACCCTGGGGAAGGAAGGTGGTGAATAAGACATCCAGAGAAATTCTTTACTTAGGAGAAAGACTATCCAAAGTCTTTCAGCTTACTGTGGTGAGCAGTATCTGGGGAAGAAGTGATGCCAAGTAACAACAAAATTTTCATGACATCTTAATGCATCTATAGGGAAAATTTCAATTAATACATAGAATAAGATTATCAAGTCAGACCAATTAATTAATGAATAGTTTTTTTGCCTGCACTTAGATCAAAAATTCCTACTTTATGTAATATCACAGTTAATTCCGTAGATGCCAGAATGGTTCATCTCAAATTCCATGGAATTACAACTCCTAAAGAATCAGCTGCTGCAGATAAGAAGACAAAATTAATTCACAGATTCACAGACAAAAATCTCCATAAGAAGGAAAGATCAGCATATGCTGAGTATTTTCTTAGCTTATGTACAAAGCTAACAACCTTGCATCACCTCTAAAATTACTTAACAAATTTGGGCATACCATCTTATATTGTAGTAGTCCAGTGCCACATAGCTGTGGAGACATTTTGGTTATCTAAAAAGTGTTTAGCTTAGTGGTTTAAACAGCTTACTTATTACATTATGGGAGAACATAATCTAAAGCTAAACAAATGACAATAAACTGAAGTTAATGTAGGTAGAAATTCATAGAGTTAAAGCTAGATAAAGGGAGGAGACCATGCCTAGAAGGAGACATGCTATCTTTCTGAGAAGCAAGTGCTATTATTGTCAGGTAGTATGGTGAACTTGAAAGATGAGGAATCTAATCCAACATTACAGATCATTATTTCCCTTCAAGATTATACTGTAGGGGGAAAATTCACCCTCATCTGTATGACATTTATTTCAGAGCACGAAGATTAAAATGGCTATTCTTTTTGTCAGGACGCATTCTGGTATATTGCATTTAAGCAAATGTTCAAAACCAACTTGCATATCCCTTTGAGCATAAAATTAATTGGTAAAAAAAACCAGATATTAAATTGTGTAATTCCACAGCGTTACAGCACAACAGATTACTTTACATCTCACTGATAAAGCAGATTAAGTTTATTTACCATTTACTGCAGGTCATCTCTCTTCATAGTTACAATAATTCTTACTGTAGTCTCCTTGAAGTCAGATTGATTTTAAAATGAACAATACAATAGATGTAAATATTAAATATCTTTTAACTGAGAAGTTAGAGGCCTTTGCTATTTTATTTTTTATGATCTATTTATGGTATGTTATCAGGGTATCCCTGTGGTGTATTGAGAAGCGCCGTAAGCTTGCTGTGCCAGCTCTGCCTCTGATG